ATGAAGGCCAGGACACATCACACATATTGTATGGCTGTTAGTGCTATTTTATTGCAGTAAGTTACTGTAAGTAAATGTTGTTGCATAAGTGTTTTGCAACTGCTTTCTTATTTCTAAGTAATATATATTTTTTTTTTCTTAAATGGCCAATAGCTTCAGTAAATGTATTTATTTAATGGCTTTATTGTTGCGAAAGGTGCTGGAGCTGCATAGTGTAGGATTTTTCTACCAAGCCGATTTTGGTAATGGCACAGCAATAATCAGTTTAATGATAAACAACAATTAATAATTAATTGCTAACAAAACCATTAATATACATATTTTTTCGGCCTAAGATGGAACACACGGGTCATCTCTTGTTTTTTTTTTTTTTTTTTTTTTTTTCTTTTCCTGTTTTTCACTGCAGAGCTGTATAGACAGCATGAATAAAACGACTTATAAACCCACTCTTTGTTGGACCAACAACCGCTCACAATAGGGGATGAAGATCTGATTACTTGAAGCAACAACCAATGAAAATACACTGATCATTATGTTTAAACATGAAGTTTTATAAGTTCAAAGTAACACAAGTTTATGTGTTTTCCATCTTTATGTCAGAGTTATTATTGCAAAACACACACTTAGAAAATAGCAGGCATCTCTAATCAGATGATTTTCATTTTGATCAAACCTCCCATTTGTAACATAGCTGAGAAATACCAGTTACGACCAGTAACAGAGGTCTACCATTGAAACTATTAGCCAGAGTAGTTTGAAACCTGAAATAAGGTTTTAGGGGTTGTGATAACATTAATCGTAAACACAAGATGCTTGTTTATACTATTTGCATTTCTATAATTTGAAATCAAAGGGCCATCTATCAGGGCTGGAACCCAACTCCATTTAGTGTTGCTCCAATATTAAAACAAACACACACAACAGCTAGATACCCTGAAACTGAAGTTTAATAAAGTTCTAAGAACTCAGATATGTACAATGTCACTATGTTGGTCGAACAGAGATCCAATTTAGGTGTTCTCAATCAACCATATCTAGCCCTAGTAACAATATAGCCAACCATCAGTCTCAAAAATTAATGAACAGAGACAAAGCAGCTGGATCTTCCAGGACGATTGCACACTACATTATGTACTGTAGGCCCTGGGGTTTCTATCTGACCCTCCATATGAAAAAGCTTCATGCTAGAGCTAAGAGCTTAATTCAACTGACTGGGGGCTTAACTGGGCAAATGAGGCAGCTCAATAAAAGCATATGGAACTTTAGATTTGTCAAAGCCCTTGGAGCTGCAGAGCTTTGTGGAGTGGGAAATAGAGGAAGAGAAAGGCTCATAGCAAAAAGAAGAAAAAAAGCAAGGAGTATATTTCTGAGAATAAAGGTAGATTCATTTGAAGGTTGTGAACTGAGCCCTTTTGAGTCCTTAGAGCAACACAGTTAGCTCTCCTTCGTGTCTACCCGGTTCTGGTGTTTGAGATTTCAACGGACTAAAGGGAAACGTTACTGAAAGCAGCAATGGATTATTCTTAAGAAAAGTTTCTCTTTTTTCTTTCAACACCATATTTTACAGCATGCAAGTTTGTTCAATGCTTTTTACTTTAAAATTATAAGATTCAAAACAGGACAGAAATTATGATTGTTTTAGTCATTTTTCTTTATTTTCACAAAATCTATAATGTATATAAAATACCCTCACCAGCCTCTTTCTTTCTCAGTTGTTAAAATACTGACTCAGCTCATAGCATGGCAATAAGTCAGTGTATCAGGTGTCTTGACCTGATGAAGACGACTTCTTCAAGTTCTGATCCTCAAACAGAGTGAAGAAGAAAGGACATTGAAGTTTCTTTTAATCAAAACTTTTTTACTGTGATCCAGTGGCTTCAACAATCTGTCAGAGCATTTAGAACAAAAAATGCAGCCAAAAAGCTTGCAGCAATTATGTGATTCTTTCAAATCAGTACGGACCAAAATGTCATAAAAACATTTCCAACACCTTGTTTATTTTATGACATAAAGTATTATTTTCTATGCACGTTGGGAACCACTGCTATAAATTAAGAGTTTTGGAGTATTGTAAGTGTATTTAACAGAGAAAATTATATAGGTGGAGTTAGCAGAACAAAATTGTTGTTTGTTGTTTTTCTTGTGCATACGTTATATTTTTAATTCTAGAATTCTTTAACATTATCAGGAAACATAGAAACACCATATCCGTATTGACTGATTGTTTCTGGGCACTTCATACTTTTGTCAAATCGTTTGCATTAGTGTATATGCCCAGCTTTTGTGAAAAGTAACACTGCATTGACTGCTTCGTTTTCTTGCCAAAAGTAGTGCTTAATGTATTTAAATTAGATCTACCTTATTTGTGTTGGTGACAAAATACATAAAAAAGAGGAGACATTGTCCATTTAATTTCTATAGGAAATATGCTTTCCTCCCCACCGCCCCTCCATGTGTTCGAGGGAAATTTAACGAACTGAGAGCCATCAGCTGTTCGGCACCATAATGCACTGCTTTTGGGCAAATAAATAGACCATTAAGCTGGCATGTTGGAGGCTGAACAGTAACTAGCTTTGGAGAGAGTTTCCTCCCCCACATAGTCACCCCATGGAGCTGCCTGAGTCTGTACTATTGTGAAGGAGCAGCAGTTCCTTCTTGCACATTCAAACTTAAACAAGTTTGCATTTTTGAATCTATTTTTGTCAATGTAAATAATCAAGGTCTACATTAGAGAAGTATTTTTTTGTGTCTGAATAGAAAAGAGGTCTAAAATGAATGTGTTGTTTTTCTCCCATATGAGAATGCTTTTTTCAGGCTTTCAACATGCATCCGGTTGTGATGCTGTAATCTATCCGTGCATGCTGTGGCGTGATGCACCCTGTGGCTTGGCATTACCATACTGTAGAATTACTTAGCTTATGTTGTACAAGAGAAGAAAAAGCACTTGCAGACAAGGAGCCACTCAAGTAACAAGGAGCTGAAACCTCAACTCTCAGAAGCCTGCAACATCCTCCTTACTTTCCCACAAAGTCTTAACAGGAGCTAGTTATTATTTACAGTGGGCAAATTTATGGAATAATTTCAGCAAAGGAAGGTTACTCAGTTCCTCAAGGTGAAAATTGATACATTTAGCACTTAATGAATTGGGCCTGGTCCGGTTCCCCCATACATCACCATGTTATTAAGACATTTTAAAATCCCATTATGGTGTTTCTCCTTGAACATGTCATGCTTTTATTGGATTGCCCTGTCTTTAAATCTGACCTTTTCATCCTTGTTATGGAATTGAACAAAAAAAAAAAAAAAAAAAAAAACACCATGGAAAGATGGGTCAAATGTACATAGGTGGTTAAAGAAAAACGATCTCTTGGTAATTTCTTTAAAATGGTTTTTCTGGGAAGGCCTTGTGATGGCAAATGTTTTTATTTTCATTTTTTTAATTAAACAATGCTGAAATCTAATGCCTTTCAAAAGTGTTTATACCTCTTGAACTTCACACATTTTGTCATGTCAAAGCCATAAACTTCAATGTGTTTTTACTTGGATTTTATATGGTAGACCAACACAATTTAATGGAAAAGAGTGAAGTGAACTGTAAAGGAATAAAAACTTGCATTTGTATTTTTCTAACGTGAGTAAATACCTTTTAGAACCACTTTTATCTGTAATTCCAGATTCAAATTTTATTATTTGTGTTTCCACCAGGCGACACGTACAGCTTATTTTGTCAATGCTATGCATACATTGCCCTTGAACAGAACTAGTTCCCAGAAACATGTCAGTCTGCCATTGACTTTCCATTTTTGGATTTTGGATTAGATGGTTCTCTGTGGATGTTCAGAATTTTGGAGTTTAGATTTATTTATAACCTAACCTTCTTTAAATTTTTCAGTAGCTTTATACCTGAACAGTCTGCCATGTTTATTAATTTTCATGATGCTTTTTGCCATTTTCTCGAGCTAGTCTTCACAAAACAGATGGATTTATAGTTAAATCACACACAGATCTCTTTACTATTACATTTGAGGGCAATTGTTTGCACTGGATTATATTTCGTAAAGAGGACTGAACACAGAAGTAAGCCCCACATCATTGAGTTTATTTCTAAAACAAAACCAGTCAACACTTATACACTACTTTGTTCTATCTATCACACAAAATCCTCATAAAACATTTTGAAGCTAGAGGTTCAAACTGTGAGAGTATTGGGTATTGGTCTTTCTTGGGTTTTACATTTCTGCTTATGACGTTGAATGCTAAGTAAAAATTTTGCGAACATATTCACAAGATTTTGATGACGTCACAAAAGCAAGACCACCTTGTAAGTCCAAGCATAATCAGAAAGTATAACTTAAAAATCTACTGACAAAAGAAAGAAAGACATGTCGGGAGGATAGCTCATCGCTCATCATTTTACATTTTCCTCCAAACAAAAGGGACCCAACAAGTATAGAGAAAGTGTTTGGCTTGAGCAGAAATAATGAGAAAAGAAAGAGGTAATATTGGGGAAGGAGAAGAGCGTGACACAAAGGCTGTGATGACACAGGCATCTAATCCAGGCAATGCCATTCTTATCAGGGTCCAGTGGATTAGAGTGAGCCTCCTAACCAGAGAATTCTTCCCAGCCAGACACTCTCCACAGCCCAAGGGCCTGGATCAATAGGCCCGCATTGATCTCTCTCCTCCTGTGGCTGGATTCACTTTTATTAGGACTCTCTTGGCCTCTTTCTCTTAGACACACATATGTATCCCATGCAGCTGCTGAGAAAAACCTCAGAATGAACAGATGTAGCCTCCACACACGCACATACACCTTCTGTATAGAAGACGGAAAGGGCCAGGCTGTTTTTGTTGAACTGAATTGCTGTAATGAAGGATGCTAGTGTGTCAGTTTCCACCCTCTGCCAAGAAGTTTTGATTTGTTTTGAGAGAACCCTGACTTTCTTAGCCTGTCGCAAAGATGCTAACCTCTCTGTTGCTTTGTCTTTCGTCTACTCCAGATGACCCGCCCCATCCAGGTGAAACCGGCAGACAGCGAGAGCCGTGGAGGTAGTTGTCTTCTTTTCTTCATCATTTTTCGTCTCCCTCTTTTTCTCTCCATCCTATTTGAGCCAAATAATTTCTGCATTCCCTTTCTGCCCTCATCTGTTCCGCTCCTCTGTATGCAATATTTCTCTCAACCAATACTGTTTTTTTTGTCCCAAACCTTTTTATCCCTCATGCTGTTCATAAATGGTAGCAACTCAATCCTGAACAACAAATCAAACTGTGTCTGAATGTACACTAAACAGATTATGTGACATCAAACGCAAGCAGATTTGATGGCATCTCTATTCCAATCTATATTTGTCATCTTTCTTTTTCTTTCTTTTTTTTTTGCTTGTTTGTTTGTTTCCGGTTCAAATCCTTTTGAATTGAGAATTAATCTCCTGTAGTCTTGTTCAGCTTCCTGCTTTAATGCCTGTAATTGATTAGAGAATAGGTTATTGAGGAGATGTGGGGCTGTGATTGGCTCCCCCGGCTGCCCATGTCTCTCCCGCGCTCTCTTCCTTCAAATACATTATTGTTTAAGTGTAAATGAGATTGTGATTAGTCTCTCGTCTAAAATCATTTCCACACCAGGGCCTTGTTAAAGCCCACCCTGCTTGATTTGTGAGGATACAGTACAGACACAGAGAAAATGGAGCAGCAACATTTAAAGCTTGCCAAACAATCAATAAATTTGCAAAGCGCTTGCCAACATCCTCATTACTTGGCCTTAATTCTGTTGTCTTTGATCTCTTCTGTTTTTGGAGGCTTTCGTTCACTCGCTGCCTATCTGCATATATGTTAATGTTCTGAGCAGCTATCCTTCAAGTCAGTGGCATAGACAATGAACCTCACTGTTAATTTTATTTTTTTCTTATGCGTCTCCCAGCAAACAAAGCAAGTGGCTTTTTTTTTTTTTTTTGTTCTTATTTAAAGAAGGAATGCTGTTTCCAGTCCATCTCATCCCAGTGCAAATTAGATTTTTGGAAGTGGAAAAACAGAGGGAGAAGGCAGAAAATGCAAAAATGCAGAAATGATGCCAAATGCATACAGCTGCTGTGTTGCACTTCTGAGGCTTTACCTAAAAACCTCTGCCTGTTTTGGGTGAATTAGGATGGCTGGCCATTTGGCTGTCGGTCAGATGCACACAATCTTCAAAGGACAGCAAACCCCCCCGGGATGAATGGAGGAAAGGCCAGTGAAAGATCACTGTCAGTGCCTCAAGCTTTCTTTCTTTCTCTCTTTTCCGTTCCTCTTTCTTTCTCTCCCGCTCTCCTGGTAGCCATTCATTTGGAGCTTTAGAAGAGTGGTGAGACGAGCAAAAGGGGTCTCGTGCTGTCAAGATTGATGTCCCCTATAGGTCCATTGATTTTGCCATTGTGGTGCTGTGTGTCCACATTAACAATGACACTCAGCTGTCTCTTTACTTGCTTGAGAGTGGCCAATTTTAGGGCTCCCAGGGCATGGTGGTCAGTATGGGGTCCCTTACTGGCCCCAGCAGCTGGTACTGCACTGAGGAACAAATGAGTGTTCAAGCAAACCTGAGAGTTACACATCATTTTAAATGAACAGGTCAGAGTGGTGCCAAGGGGGCGATCAAACATAGGCATGACTTTAACAGGTTAGGAGGTGGAGATAAAAGGGTGATGTACAGAGTGCGCAAGGGGAGATTGATTTATTTGCCCTGATCAGAATTTAGTGGCCAATCCAATCTGATGTTATACCTGCTGATTTAGCAAATTCTAATTTCTCTTTGAGAACTAAAAATATATGTAGATCTATGAATGATTTACTAGAAATTGAAAAGGAGAAAATAATTATGAAGTTGATTAGTGCAGTTAGCAGTAGTATAACAATCGTCTCCTTGTATTTATATATTTATTTTCAGAAAATTGTGATTTAAACACTGACTCTAAGATCAAGAAAGCTGTCAATACTTCCACATTTAACATGCATTTGGAAGTACAGAATATCTTAAGCCTGTTCAGGCTCCCTGCCATCCTTTGAAGTCTTGCTCTCTCTCACTCTCTTGCAGCCTGTATGAACTGAAGGCAGATCTTGACATGCAACAGTGAATTTGTTCTCAGTGTCTTCTTCTGACTTCAATTTTAAACACTTCTTCACTAGGTGTTACCGTGACCAGTAAGCACTTAAACGGTTCATTTTACAAAAAATAAAAAGTACAAATTATGTTGGTGTAACTCTAAATTGATTGTCACTTTAAATCTCCAGTTCTCATTTTACTTCCTTTCATAGTCATTGGCAAACATAATTTATCTTGTTTGTGTTCAGCTGCTTTTGTAGCTTGAAGCAGATGATTGTTATGTTGATGCTTCTCCACTGCCTACTTTTACAAGCTGTAGCTGCTCATTTGCTGTAATTCTTATGTTGGTGATTAATTATTGCAATATTTCCCCATCTAAAATGCTCAGATTGCTGTTTTGTTTTGTTTTTTGGTACGCATTTAGCTGCCAGTGGCAGAATCTAAACCAATAACTGCAGGATTAAAGCTCAGCATGGCGCACAGGAGCTGGGAGAGTGAATTCAGAAAGATATTAATTAGCCTCTCAGTACAGCAGAGGGAAAGACGCCGGGGACACACTCAGTCTGGCCTATTCTCTCAGGGGCCACACTGCTAGTCCAATAGGGGGCATATATTCCTGAGCGAACGCTGTCACAGCTAAACACACAGTCAGACTAATTAGTCCCTTAATCTCATTATGGCGAAGGCAGTTCAGATCACCTGTGCCAGTCTGCTGTCCATTAGGGATGGACCTGTTACTGGGATTTTATGCCTGCTAGACCTTCATTTCTCCTGGAGGAACTCTCGAACGTTATTAAAACCAGACAGGGCCAGGCGGGATCGGGGTACTACCAGACATAGTCATTGTGGAAACATAAATCTGTCCAGTCACAGCAGAACATATTCCTCAAACTTCTTATATATAAAAACACAAAAAAAAACATGCGACTCTTAGATATGTTATCAATATGTGGGAAATAGGAAAAGTATGACAGCACATCTAAAGAATCAACACAGGGAACTAATCTTTTCTGTTGGAATTAATGGGAAATATACATGGTAGAGTAAATCTATCCAAACACTCCGGCAGCCTTTGCTGCAACCTAACAAAGACACACTGTGAAATGAATATTAATGGCCAATCACCTACCTAATCTAGCAGAACAGCAGCCGTTACACATTGAGCCACCAGCATGGCGACCGTCTCCGTCACCAATGACGCGAGCCTTTCTGGGACGCTTCTGTTGGGCAGACATTTAAAGAGACACAGCGAGGAGGCAGCAGGGATCTGTCTTTCTCATTTTCTCCTCACAGGTCCTCTGATATGATATAGATTGATTTTCCATCACACATGGCACTGACGACTGGCACTGACAGCAGCTGATAGTTCATTTTTGAAGCACCATTCACCACCTCCTTAGAGAGCCTGGCGTCTTTACAGAGGATGAATCAGATTTAACCACTCTGATTTCATCCTGAACCTGCTACCAAAACCCACACATCCCTCAGCAGCTCACCATTACTACCTGCCTCCTTTTGTTTCCTTTTTATAGACTGATGATTTTGTATTTTTATTATATTTTCTCAGTTCAAGACCTATCCTGCTGACAGGCTAAATGGTTTTCTTGAGCATTTGCTTTTTTCTCTGTGTTTCTTGGCTTTGCTCATTTTTCAGCTTAACCCATTGTTAGTGTTTTTTTTTTTTTTTTTTTTTTTTTTTTTTAGCTTAGAGATTGTTCAGAAGGCAGAAACAGGAGCAGACTAGCTGTCAGCTGGGGCTCTGTTGGTGTTGCAGCAGGCCTGCCTGGCACAGCGAGAGTTGCAACCCACTGAGGAGGCCTGGATTAGAAACAGGCTCTGGCATTTTCAAGGCAGGCCTGCCGCCCACGCACACACACCCACACAGAGAGGACAAACAGACAAACACATGCAGTACATTTGGCTCTGACACACACAGGCACACGCGCTTGCCTTCTCCCTCATTCAAACACACCCAGTGGGAAGTTTGATGTACACGAGAACAGAAACACAAAAGAACATGTTTACTACAGGTTATATGGTACCACACTCATTGAAACCTTTGGTAAAGACATGTAAACAGGGGGGAGGGGAGGAAGTCTTACAATCAATTTGTTTTTTTTTTTTGTTTTTTTTGTTGCAATTGCATATTCTCAAACTTAAAACTTTGGACTAATCCAAATAACGTATAATACTTTAATGCATTTATTCAAAAGGGGTGACATCCCATGCTTGGAAATAATTAAGAGATCCATCAATCAATCAGCCATCTCCTTCCTCTCCGCAATCTCTCTAGATCATCCAGATTTCTTGTTGAACACTTGTACCTGCATTGACTTCAGCTCACATTACAAGTTTTCGACTTGATTTTTGCTCAAACTGAAGTAACAGAAGAGGGTTGATTTTGAGCTTGTTGAACCATTTCTGTTGATCTGGGCAAATGATTTGGATCATTTTCCCTCTGAAAGGCTCAGGGATTACCACAATCCAGACATCCATAAGAGTCCACCAGAGCGTGGTTTTTATGATTTATGATTCCATTCAAAAACATATTTGATGAGTTGCATACCAACATTCTCAAGTCCTATAAAAGAAAAACACATTAGGGGGAAAAAGGTGTCCATCCATACATACTGTACTTAAGAGCACTCAACAGAAAACTACTATGTGTGTTGCATATGTTTATGTCTTTGCCTATGTGTGTCAGTGGTCAGTTGCAGGGGGATCTGTTGTAGAGTCCAACAGCAGGTGGAAGAACAAAATCTTCTGAATCTCTCCTTGCCACTCCTGACACTGAAGGAGATGCTCAGTCCTGTGCAACTTTACAACTATATGTTTGGTTAATTTGTCTATCTGAATACATTTTTTGTGAGTCTTTTAGTTGTTGTTTTTTTTTCATTGTTGTTGATAGCATGTCGACTTGTCCAAGTTTTACAAATGTCTGCTGGAGACAGGCACGTCCAACCCTCCCATCGACCCA